TGGTGTTGGCCAGAGTGGCCACCAGGGAAAGCTGGGGAGGGCTAGCCTCCCACTAGTTCGAATTAAGGGGCTACACACCCCTTAATTCGAACTAGTAAGTTCGAACTAGGCTTAATCCTCGTAAAATGAGGTTTTCCTAGTTCGAACTAAGCGCTCCGCTAGTTCGATTCAAATTCGAACTAGCGGAGCGCAAGTGTAGCGGCTATGAATGTTAGTTCGAACTAACGTCCGTTAGTTCGAACTAACATTGTAGTATAGACATACCCCAAGCTACTTATCTTGCTCATGCTAGGGAACAGTAGAAATTCAGGAAAAGACTCTCCCTTGGACCTCTGCATTTCAAACCCACCAGCATTGACTAAACTTTGGACAAGCATTTAAGCTTCAGGACAAGTGTAGCGGCTATGAATGTTAGTTCGAACTAACGTCCGTTAGTTCGAACTAACATTGTAGTATAGACATACCCCAAGCTACTTATCTTGCTCATGCTAGGGAACAGTAGAAATTCAGGAAAAGACTCTCCCTTGGACCTCTGCATTTCAAACCCACCAGCATTGACTAAACTTTGGACAAGCATTTAAGCTTCAGGATAATTATACCAATTGCAATTCCAAACCTTGTATGACTCACGTAGCACTAGGTTTTGCCCCTACTTACTGTGGTTTGGACATTAATTTGTAAATCACATTGCTCTCTCAACTGTTAATATAACTAAGCAAGCATGTTCACTTGACTTTATGTCTTCTTTCCAAATGAGAATCTATCTCTGGAAGATGAACCAAAATCCAAAACATGAGTTTTATGCAAAATGACAGTAACCATAAGTTTCATTTTAAGTTCCAGTTTTATTTTATTTTCTTTTAACAAGCAGGCGTTAAATGTGCCAAAATGTGTAGTGGTATGTTATCTGCTAATATACAGCATGAATAACAGATGTAAACTCCACATTAAAAGTATCTTAATCTTCAATTCTTAATCCACCTGCAGAACGTACTTAATCTGTGCACAGGTACAACCACATCATATCAAGGCACATCTAGCTCTCATGGATGAATAAGATGCTTCATCATGATGAGAATACCTTTGTTATTCTGACAGGAAAAAACATTGTTTGAGGAAGTGGGTCATATGGGTATAAAGATGTTTACTTGAAAGGCCAGGAATTCCATGATCCTGATCAGTGTACCACTGAAAAAGAAGAAAAAAACCCCCAAACATACTTTATTCCTCTATCCTACAGTAAGTAAACAATTAGAAGCTTAATCTTTATTACTATTACAGCCCCATAAATGGTGAAAGGTGCCTCACAAAGACAAATGGTTAGTGGCTTGTTAGCTCGCTTGTTCTTTGTGTGATAATTATTTTTATTAGTTTTCATTATATTCATATTCTTATTGAACAACATTTCTAAATAATCTGTAATTTGGGAGTCAGAATGCCTTCCTGGTGAGTTAGTTGCATCAAGCCAGACCAAAAAAACTCTAAGATGCCCTCAAGGACAAGAGTCCGTGACATGTGCTGCATGTCCTTAGCATTAGAATTATTGGCTTAGTCTACACTGCAGGATTTTTGAGCAAGAAACCTTTTGCAGAAGAGTTTTTGATCAAAAACTTCTTGCCCAAAAGCGTGTCCAGACCTCAAAGTGCATCGCAGAAGCGATGTGCTTTTCCACAAGAGAGTGTTCACACTGCGTGATGGACACTCTTGCGCAAGAAAGCTCTGATAGCCATTCACAGAGCACCTGTACTTTTTCCGATAGGGATTTCTTGCGCAAAGGCACTTCTAGAGCGTCCACAGCTGGTTTTTTGCACAAGAGCTGTAGTGGGTCATTCCTTGTGGTGAGAGGAATAACTCGACCGGCAAAAGCCCTCTGTTCTATTTTCTTGTGCAAAAACACGCTTAAGGTGTAGATGCTCTGCAAGTTTTTGCACAAAAATCTTGTCGTGTAGACATAGCCATTCCGAAGACAGACTTGGCTGGCAATATTATGTTTTCATTAAACTGCCCTCCCCTGTGTAGCTCTGTCCAAATCATTCAGCATTACATCAGTTCCTTAGGCATTAGTTCTATGGCATCAGTTCCTTAGTACATCAGTTCTATAGCATCTTGAGAACAGTACCTAGCCTGTCAACACTGGCACATTTTGTTGTCAAAAACTGCCTTTTGGTGAGAAACAGTGAGCGAGTTTACACTACAATGCAACTTTTGTCTGGAAAAACACCCAGTTTTGGTGACAAAAAACTTCTAGCCCTGCAAGAGACTTTTGACTTTTCCCCTCCCTTTATTATCGACAAAAAGTCAGTGTGGACTTTGTTGTTTGTTTTGTCGAGAGAACTGGCTTCAGCCAGTATCCCACAATGCCTGCCCTTATGGCTGCGCTCAGTGTTTTGTGATCTCTGCTGTCCTGCAGGCATATGCCCCTCCCCTTTCAAAGTTTCAGGAAGTATCTGATAGCTGAATGAGCTGCTGTGTTTGTGGAACAAACAAAGAGCAAATCACTGGAATGCTTCTATTCTGCTTTGCTAGGAACACAGCAGCAGGCTGCTGCAGGGGAAAGGCTGGAGAGACTGCTGGGCTACTTTCACATTCCTCAGCACGGAAAGCTCACAGAACTATTCATGATATCACTTCCAGAAGTAGAGAATGCTGTGGGAGAACTCAGAGGGTTCAGTTCTGTCTTCCCACAACAATGCACTGTGGGATGCATCTTACCCACATTGCTTTACCTTATCTGTCAACAGAGTGCTAGCAATGTGGCCGTGAAATGTCGACAATGGGAGGCAGAAAAACTGGTTTGACCAGTTTTCACTTTTGGCAACTGTTGCATATCAGCAGCACTTTTGTTGCCAAACCTTCCCAGTGTGGACATAGCCGGAGATGTATTATGTTACACCTTGGAACAGTAGCAATTATTTTAATAAGAAAATTTGCCTTAAGTTATTTACAGCCAAGTGTCATGAAGACATACTGAAATCCATTTTTTTAGGCTAGGTGCTTCTCTTCTCTGCAGATGCAGCACTGTTTTGCTTTAAATCAGTGGGAATGCAGGACATCTGGAGTCCACACTATGGTCCACACACTTATGGAGTGCCACAAACCCCTGTGCTTTGGGAATTGCATGTGCACTAATGTCTGTGACAGTTCATGGACAGAAGTAGGACAGGAACAAGACTAGTGTATCTGACATTAGCACATGTATAAGCGATAAAGAAGAACCAAAGCCTGACATGGATGCAATAGACATTTTGTCCATTTGGCCTACTTTTGCTCTTCATTCATCCCTTCCACCCTCCTGTCTGTCCCTGTTACCCTTTCTGTCCCTGACAATTTTGTCTCATCTCCCTCTGGGTCTATTTTCCAGATTCCTTCTTCCCTTCTCTGAGATCCTTCATCTTTGTCTGTGGCTGGCAGGTACCTGAAGGAAGCTCCTAATTCCTGTTTCATTAGGTAGCAACAGCCTCAAAAAGAGACATCTAGGCTGGCTGCTCATTCTTTTTCCACATGCCTTTTCCAGGCTTCAAAACTACTATTTACAAAGAAGAAACTGATACTCTGTTGAAGCAGCTGGAAACAAGGAGCAAAGAGCCAATTTCATTTGGTCAACCAGTTTTCTGTGGCTACCAGCAAGTCCACAGACCAATGCAAGTCCACAAGCTATTCTATGGGACTCACTGGGCTAAAATGACCTTCTTAAAAATGTCCCCAGGTGTAAGAGGAACTTGTTAATAGAATTATAAGCCCATGTTTAAAAAGACAAATAGTCCGATGTTATCTACCATTGCCTGGAAATCCACCTGTGCGTTAACAAGAGCTTTAGCGATCTGTGCTGAGTTCTGAAAATGTACATTATCTAGAAAAAGAAACAGAATAAAAAGAGGAAGAGTGGTTATTAAAATGTGGTAAATACCAGATAAAGTAAAGCTACAGTGCATTAAGTTCAGTCCATCAATTATTGAGTGCTACAGTTGACATTCCTAACAACGAGTAAGTGACACTTTATACACCTTGTGGAAATGGACTAAACATCTAAGTACTGACCCTAATCAAAGTCAAAGCAAGATGTTTAATGTTTCTCAAACAAAGAGGATGTGGTGCAGTATTTGAACTGCCTTTTGCAAACCTCACCATCTGCTGTTCCGTGGATGAGAAGATATTCCACATTTCGGAAGTTCTCTGCTCTCGCCATCACAGTTGAATTCTGTTCAGGGGGAAAATGGACACTTCAGCAGCTGCAATTTAGACCACTTAGTCACGTAGGTAAAAGGCTCTGATTGCATAGTATAAAACTAACTGAATCATCATATACACTGGCACTACAATAACAAGAGTGATTATTTATTACCCTCTGGGCTTGAAATGGAAGTTAGTATGTTTCCTAGGCTCTTCCCAGAGCCATTTGACACAAATCTCAGGCCCATGCCCCATCCCACACTCAAGCTGCAATGCCACCCATCTATGCCAAAATGCTCTGCCCGAGGAGTTTGGGATGAGGAGTTTCTGCCATTTGGGTGGGGCTGGGAAATGAACATTAAGGGCCTGATCCAAAGCCTAATAAAGCCAGTGAAAGGCATTCCACTGACATTAGTGGGACTTGGACCAGGCCCTAAATCTGTTCAGAACCGGTATG